ATCTTTCTAACTAGTTCAAGAATTTATACAAAGTAAATAAAAGTTCAATTACTAACCAACTGTTTTCATATTTTTCTCGTCCTCTGCTTGTTAAATATGTGAGAGTGGATTATCGAGAAGATGGATTTAAGGAGTTGTTTGACAATCTCTACTATCTTAAAAGAGAGGGTTTGAGGTATACTATTCATTTGAGATTTTCCCTCATAGATCACTGTTTCAGGCGGGGACAAAAATTCCAATTAGTCTTCCAATAGGATTTATTGACTTTGGAGTACTTCAATTCCCCATGCTCTTTTTGTAGTCGGTTAAACTCTTTAATTCTCCATTAATCTTTTTGTAGTCGGTCGTTATTTTGTAATCTCCAGCTTCTACAATTTTACTCCATTATCGTCCTCTTGAGCTTCTAGGAAAAATAAATTTTGAAGCACTGGTTTTGTAGCACATAACCTGTGATATTGTTACCCCTTATTGCTTTTCACTGTAAGTAGTTAAAATTCTGTTGCTTCTCTATGTTTCAGACTAAATTCGAAAGTATATTCATTAGGTTAAATGCATGTCTTAGGGAATGTGTAAAGAAAAATACATACAAATAATAACGCTGTAAATATCAAATATGTTTTCATTTCCTATTTGTAATTCTGTTGGGTTGTGATTAATGGTGGAAGTTTTTATTTAACTGTTACACTGGTTATTTCCTAATTTTCGTATTTTTATGTATTTGAAAGTTTTGACAGAAGTGTTTGCTATGCTAAATGCATGTTAGTTGAACATGTAATCAAAATGTTTTTTTGTACAAAAAATATCCTAATTTGTGTTCAATAAAAATTATGATTTCGTAGTAAAAAAATAATAATAAATAAAATATGCGGAGCATTTGCTCCGGAGTGTGCGGAGCAAGCATTTTTTTTTCTTTTCTTTTTTTTTTTTAAGTTTTTTTGCTTCATTACATACATACATATAATAAACTCAAAATTTATTTTGTGTCTCAGCACTCGCGTCTTCTTTTTTATTTCTTTTTTTTGGTCAAAAATTTTACTTATTTACATTTTACACAAACTATAATTACAATTTCATTTATTAATAATTTAAAAAAAAAATATTAGAAAATATTCAATTACATATATACATAAAAATCAAAATTCATTTCGGTGGCGTTGCCCCCAAGCCCCCACGAGGGGCGCTGCCCCCTCGACCCTTGCGACCTGACCGGGCAGGTCGATCCCTGTCGGGGCGTTGCCCCCAAACCCCCTCGAGCCCCTCGAGGGCGTCACTTGTCAATTCGGTCAAAAAAATATGTAACTTACTTCAATTTACTTCATATACTTCGATTTTTTTTATTATTATTATGATTTTCTTTACTTGTCTTATTTTTAATCATTCTTGATTCTGTCAATATTGTATTTGTTTACAATTTTTTTTAGGTTGCAAGATATCATTCTCAAAGTAAAAATATTTTAAATTTCAACATCAATTGAACTGTGTTATCTTCAGGTATGATGTTTTTGATCTTCTTTTTTAGATTTTGTATAATTTAATTTTTAGTTAGACTTTGTATTTTTTTTCCTAAAGTTTCTATTATAATATTTATCATTCCACTATTATTGACAAATTGTAGACTCTAATTTGTATTTATTATTCTCTTGTATATAGTGTCCAATTGTAATTGATTATAGTAGTGCACTCTATCTTGGGTAAGTTCCTCTAATTGAACTATTCAGGTTTTTAATTATATATATAAGTTTATGAACTATTCTCATTAGTAAAAAAAAAAAATTGTCTCCAATTCTTTGTACATATTTTTACTTCAATCTGATTTTCGTTTCTTAACATTGTGCAAGGTCTAACTGCTATCTATCTCTCGAATTTTATCATCTTCGTATTGCTTGGATGAAAAGGTAAGAATTTCTTCTCTTCTAGAAATTTAGCTTTATTCGATAATGTTCAATTAATCTTTACTTGTTGATAGTAGCATATAAAAAATGTTTATAATTTCCTTTAAATTTCATTTTTTCAATATTTGAGGCAGCAACTTCAATGTTTATTATGTGTCCTTGACAATTGATTTTCTTGTTTCCATGGTTATAGACTTTGGAACGAAGTAATGATCCTTCCAATATTGGTTTACATTTAAAACTATTGTATGACAATTCTTAATGTTCTTGACAGCTTCTAAAATTTGAGTTTAATGATCCAAATACGCCTTCCTATACGTCTCCGCACTTTTTACCACCAACAAAGATTGGCAGATGCAAGGTAAGCCATAAAAATCAATATTTCTAATGATTCCATTTTATAATTAAGGTTCTCAAATTTTACTCATTTTTCCCAGATTAAAGATGCAATAGTTTCACACGGTTGTTTCCTGTAAGAATGCATCGTTGAAGAAGTTCAATGATGCTGAGATTGGATGCTGTGGATGTAATGGTCGAGAAGTTCATCAAAGAAGTTCATTTTCTTTTGATATGGATCTTCCTTTACATTCTCCTTGTACATGCCTGTCATTTGTTTTTGCAAATTACAATCTTGAAGAGATTTTTGAATTTGTAATCTAACATAGACAATAAAAATATTAGTCAATTTGGATGTCTCTATGAAATCCAAGAACTAGTGACTATTTTTTATTTAGATTACTTTACTGTCTTCAATCTATTACAAATTATAGAACATTACGACTATCAAGTCCAAAATACATAAAATTTAAAACGCTAACATCACCTTCAAAATAACACACCCTGTGGGATGAACGGGTTAAAACTATTATTTAATAAAAGTTTTAGTAGATTTTGATTAAAAAAAAAAGATGAAATACATAGTTGAAAATTGGTAAAAAAAAAAATATGGATCTCATAATATATATGATTAAATTTATTGTTGATTTTAATCTCAACTTTCTAAACTTTTCCAAACAAGCACTAAATCTTTATTTTGCTGTTCTAGTTCTTGTGCTCTTACTCTAGCACGACAGCACATAAGTTAGTCTACGTTAAACTTAAATCTCAAGAATTAATTTTTTAGTAAATTAATGTATAGACTTTAGATACACTAGAAGGTTGTAAATCTTTCTTTTGATATCTCAATCTCAGTCTCGTTTTTGGTATTTTCAACAACTTACTCTAGTCGATAAATGATTGAATCCCGCTAGGAAGGATTTATAAACGATTTAATTTATAAATAGATAAATATGAGTAGTAGATAATATTTATATATTTAGAACATGAGGTTGAAAATGAAGTTTGATCATTTATAAAGTAGCCAAACGGTTAGTAGATATAATTTTTTTTTTTGTTGACGTAGGAACCCGCAGCCACTACCCGCCGTGAAATCCGAACCACCCCAAAGGGGCGGATGCCCGACCACTGTGAGTGTGCACTAGATAAACCCCGCTCCATGTGCAATAGCCCGCAAACCACATATAAGAGGTAAACCGCACTAGGCAAATCCGGTGCGACGGACTCGAACAAAGAAATGTTGGCAGGGGATTTGAACTCGTAACATTTGGTCTCTGCGTTCACTTGCTCCACCAACTCGGCCACCTCCGAAGGGGTGGTAAGTAGATAGTTGATTTCTCGTGGACATGAGTAGTTTAAATTTTCGTGCGTAGCATTTTGCCTTGCTTCTTTTGATTAGAAATCTTATTTTTAGTAGATTTCGATGAAATTTGGTAAAACATATTATTAAAAAGTTGATAAAAGTTATGGTTATGGATCCTATAAAATATGTGGATAAAAATGAATTTTAAAAAATTATAGCCAAACAAGGGCTTAATGCAGAGCAGAAGATGTTCAAACATGGCATTGTTAACAGGACTTGTAGGATGGAAAAATGAATGGTATAAATAATTAAAAATGTAGAATTTGACTGTTTTGATTGATGTACTTTGTTCTTCAATTTAGTTATTTAGCCTATATTTGGCTCATAAATTATTTATAAATAATTATATTAATTTTTATCCATATATTTCGTGTGAACCACAAATATTATCCACTTTTCTATCACACAATTAACTCGACGATGATAAATATTAGAATAGTGCTATTTGTTATTATGATCATACGATGATTGATTATCACAATTAACATGTCTGGCTCTAATACCAAATTGTTACGTATTTAGGATATGGATCGAGTAATGGGTAAATTGACGGATGAGGACCAAGGATCATTCTTACGTCAGCGACCTATGAAGGTGATATGGTGGGACACTTCGAGGGGTCCTAGGCCTCCTTGTATTGGTTAATTCGAGTAAACCAACAACTCTTAAATCAACACAAGGTTGAAGACAAATTCATGAGATGTTTTCGGTCTCTCTCTAATAAATAGTCATCACAAAATATCCCTTTATGGACAAGCAAATTACAAGGCCAATCTTTATTGGAAATAAAAAAACAGATTAGCCCATGTTTGGTATACATTAAAATTTTTATTTTCATTTTTCGACTCATTTTCAACCACACATTTTTCAATAAAATAATATTTTTCATCACATCAATAACTTTTCTTTCTTTTTCAACCACAAATTCTCCATCAATCTATTATTCTAAAATATATTCTTTCAAAATAATATGACTCAAACACACTCTTACTAATGTTTTGATCGTAACAACTTAAGTCGCTGTTTGTTAGGCATTCTAGATGCATTTTTTGACATTTTTCTTGTCAGTGGGCCTAGTGGTGCAGATTGCACAGGTAATATAAATACGGAATTGCCATTCATCCGACTCATGATGAATTTATGTGAAGGGGCAAATTGATAATTTTGCTAGGTTTGGTAAAAAATTGCAACGGCTTCTTTGATGAACAACGAATATAAATCTTTCAGTTCTATTGAAAATATATTATAGTATACTGAAATATCAAATACCATTCAATAATTCATATCATAAACTAGTAATATAGAACTAATGATATTTTATTCTTTTAATATATTCGGAATATCATTAATTATTTGTATAAACATATTCTAAAACCAAATTCTTCAGCACACACAGCAACCAAAGCCGGATGGAGCAGCAGCAGAACGCCACCGCCGCCAAACCCATTCATTGCATCGTCAAACTCGGTCAGCAGTATATCTACTTACAAATTCCAATTTCTATAAGCGTGTTTTTTCCATTAAATTCGCTTAATTGTTTAATTAAGTTAATTTGACACCACGATTCAACTGCAGGGGCTTCAGTAAGTGTTCTGTGAGTTTACTGGTTTATTGAGCACTATTAAGCGTGAAAGCGCTTTAGTTCGTATGCTCTAATTATAGATATAAATATTGTCTCCATACGGGATTCCGAATCTATTCAATTAAAGAATTTGAATATAATAAGGTGTAAATTTTTTGTTGATTTGATTAATATGAGAATTGATATAGGGGTTCAAAAATATCACCGGCCTGTTTATTTTCATACTTCGTCATTAAAGACTAAGGACTGCAGGAATTGTGCTATAATGAGTTGAAAATGTGTTTATTAAGAGAAAATTTTATTGTCAGATGTTAAAATGATATCTTTACTGTGATTTGATATATGTGAGTCATTTTTTAGTACGGGGTTTATATGATGGTTGACAGGAACAAGAGGAACATGTGTGTTATTTGGCTGAAGTTTTGCATGTGTACAAAGATGATATCAGCATCTTCATAATCTAGTTGGTGGATTTTATGTGTATGATACAGGAGGCGCTGCAATTACCTGTAAAAATGAACTGGAGACAATAAACGAGGAGGATCTTATAGTAGTTTCATCACAGCTGCGGCAGGCAATGATTTCGGGCTCATGTCACGGAATGGACTGGAGCAAGAGGCCTGGATCATTGGAGATTCCCAGGGTCATTGATGATTTCAGCGATCAAGAGGTTACTGACTCCAAGAAATTTATTGTTGTTCACGGTGCAGGTTGAAAATTTTACCTCATTCATTGCTACTGTTTAGTTACTTTTGGAATGTGTTGATTTTAGTTTATGAATAACACATACACACTCACACTCACACTGATAAATCACAAAACTACCTTACTTGGGAAAAGGGGATTTTATGTTGATACTTAGTGCATCAGTTCTTCAAAAATGAAACACGAGATCACAATACTTGTGTTTGCAGCAGTTGAAAAAAAGAATCTGCTTCTGTCAAAATTGAACACCACAGAAGTAGCTCAAATAGTTATCACTACATTAATCTGCCAAGGTTATTGTATGTTCTGAATAATAAAATATGAAATCAGGAGCATTTTCCTTTAAATTGCCCAAGATTCTTCTCTCCATAATTGCTACTGTATCAGCCAACCATGATTTTCTTACTGATGCACAAACAGATTTCCCATTTATTCTTTTTGTTTCATAAGGGTGAAACTCATCAAACAAAGGATGGTACGACTTTCCACAATACTGGGACATCTAATGTGTTTGTGTTGTTGAGTTTGTGCTAGAATGGCCCATGACAGTTATTACTTATTACTGCTCTCAGGTTCTTTTGGTCATTTTCAAGCAAGCAAGTCAGGGGTTCATAAGGGTGACTTAAGCAGACCACTTGTTAAAGCTGGTTTTGTTGCCACACGTATATCTGTAAGACCTAAAAATTGTCTGACCTTAGTCTATTGTGCCATATCAACTTCTTGTTTGTTTTGGTTGTACAATAATTTATGTGAAGTTAAACCGTCGATATGAGGCAGTTGAATTTACTTCTACTTTTAAAAGATTATGTCATGCCGAAGGCACTTCATGAACATCGAAAGTGTAACAAGGACCTTATATTTTGTTTAATTTTACTGTCTCCATATAAATTGACTGTGTCGACTTTTAAGGCCAATTTGACAAATTTTTGTTTGTCTAATTTTTTTCGAAATGTCAAACCTTATAGATCATAGTATTTTCAATGTAGTTTATAAATTTTCTCGTGTAATTTTCATGAATTTTGTACATTGTGTGAAACTCTACTCCAGAAAAAGGTTCATTTGACCAAAAATCCAACAGGGTCAATAAACATAGAACTAAGGGATTTATTTGGAGAAAAAGTTAATTTTTACTGAAATGGCTGAAATCTTAATTTATCAAGCACCATTTTGAAAATTTTTGTACTTCCTCAAAAGAACACTCGAAAAAATCCTAAATTGTTTATTGATGAAAGTTAATGCGGTTTACTTGTTGCTCTTATGTTTTCTCCGTAAAGCCATTTCTTTTTAGGGGTTGTATTGATTGGTTAAGTTACCTTAGCATTTATTTATATGTATGTTTGCATAGACCACATTTTAGATTTTTCATATTTAAGTGGTTACCAATTTTCTTGAAAGTTGAATGGTTTTGCTATTCTTTTTGTAGATATGTATTACTATGTTTGCCTGTCACATTTCTGAACGCTGAAAAATTGCTCATCTTCTAATGAGTCTTTTCTGGTTTTGTTTATTCTCATTCTGTATTAATTCTAATTATTATAGGTCACATCTCTTAATCTTGAAATTGTCAGAGCCCTCGCAAAAGGTACTAATGGAATTCAACTATCCATTTTTTAGATATTTTTTAGCACAGTATTTATAGTTTCTTTAGTCTAAAGGTTATTATATACTGATTTCCTGATTACTCTCCATTTGAATTATATGTAAACAAGGATTAGCAAGTGTTTAGGACTCCTTTGACAGATTTTCAAATTTTCCCTTCTTCGTTTTATTTTTTCTACTTGCATTCATTGTTTACTTCATTTTAATATTTTTCTGCCAATAGATTTTACCTCAAGATTATCCACCATTTTAACTGCCCAAGGCCATAAAGTGTTTCTATTCGTGCCAAATAGACAATTTCTGTATTCCATAAGCTCCTAAGTATTTTGGCATTAAAATGATAAAATCAACTAAAAACCTTTGAACTAAATTTGTTAAGCTTTTGACTTGTAATGTTGGTCGACTTACCTATAATCCAAAATTATTGTGTTGACTTTCCAAGTTATTCACGACTGCATTCACCTCGCCAAAGTTATAACTGAATTTCTTAATGACAAATCACCTTCTTGTTTGCTAGTTTTTAATTCGTACAGTGGTAAGAGTTTTTTTATTTTTTTGCCAGCACAACTTATTGTAACTCTTTGTATCTACTTTTATTAAGTGCATTTCTTTGACAATTCATCTGTGTCTTCCTACAGAGGGTATTCCTTCTATTGGAATGTCTCCATTTTCATGTGGCTGGTCAACACGTGAAAGAAATGTTAGAAGGCGTACAGAAGGCTTTACTTATTACTTTGTTGCAATATTCTTTTCATGTTATTTGTCTGGTTAGTTACCTTTTGGATAGCTTTTAATGGAGAGACCTGAAAAAGTTTAGTTTTGCTCCTTTACAGATCGCTGTGGCTGATGTAAGCACAGTAGCTAAAGCTACTGACAATGGATTTGTACCTGTAAGTTTGAACTTCCTCAAGTTAACAATGAAAGACAAGATCACGCCCTTTGAATTGTCCTTTATTGTATTCTGTTAAGACGTCAAAGCTTACTCTTTTTCCCCTCATTATGACTCTAATCTAGTCCACAATGATCATAATTGAAGGGACAATGTGAATCATAATAACATTTTGTGTTCTTATTTTGGGCCTTTTTCTATGTTAATCATCAACTAACCAGAAGCAAATCTTTTTACAATTTTTTAGTTTTCCTTGTTGGAGGATAAATTAAAACACCCCTAAAGTCTCAAGTTAACATGATACTGATCTTCATACTGCCAAAGATCTGAATGAGGTTACAACAGCTTTGTTTACTGAGCTACGGATATATATTGACAATCAAAAATTCAAATTTCCTCGCTACTATATTCTGACACACAGTATTTTACTTTGATGCTGAACCACATTCCTGGCATGGTAGAAGCAATTCTTTTAACTTACTACTATTAGCGAGCTGTCATTCTGAGAATGTTGCTTCAGTTCTTTATTTCATCCTGAATTTAGGTTTCTGATTAGTTTTCATTTGGATGATATTCTTGTTCCTAGTAAGTTTTTGATTGCTTTGCCACTATTGGTCTGTTGGTTTTTCTTTCCACTTCATGGAAAGTAGAACTGATGCCCATTCGTCAAAATTCCAGGTTCTACATGGAGATGCTGTACTGGATACTTCACTGGTTTGATTTCTGTATTTGCATCTCTAAACTAGTAAACTTCCATTATCTCGATATGTCCTGAATCCGATCAACTTTTGAACCAGGATTGCACTATATTAAGTGGAGATGTAATCATACGGCATCTGGCAGCTGAACTAAAACCTGACTATGTCGTTTTCCTCGTATCCTCTATTAATTTAATGATATCCGTTCCCCTGATTCTTCTTTTACTTTTATCGTTTTCATGGAGACGTGAGACAGTTACTGGACTAGAATGAATAATTTGTCTTCTTTTTTGGCATGGAGGATCACATCGGTAGATTATTTCTCATGTACGAGTAATAGGAAAATACCTAACTATATGCCATTTTCCATATAATTTCTCAATATTTTTGCGGAAATTTTATGTTCCATGCAATCTCACATTTTCTTCAGTCTGTACCGTCAAGTTTATAGTATTTTGCACATATGAATACGTGTGAAATAGCTTTGTCCTATATAACTCCAACTAAAGACAGATGTTTTGGGGGTATATGACCGCCCGCCAATAGAACCTGATGCAGTGCTTCTTAGGGAAATTGGTAAGTATCCCAAAATGTTGAAGTGTGTAATACACAAAAGATAGAATATATTATGATGTTGGGTTCTTTTGATATTGAACTATGATGATTAATTCATAATGCATATTCACAGCTGTGCGTGAAGACGGGAGCTGGTTTATATTAAAACCTGAATTGCAGAACATGAACAGGCAAGGTCAGTGTGTTATCATTATTCGTACCATACAATACGAGTTCATCTCCTACTATGCATTTTTATACCTAGGTAATGTTTTGCCATTTTTTCTATGAAGATATTGGCACTTTCGCACGTTTGAGAATGCTTTACCATCTGGTATTTTAGCTTGTTGATTTTACGTATACCTTCACAATCAAGAATGCTGTTATATAGTTCACACATGGTGTGATGGTGATAAGGGAATGTTATATTTTGTGAGTCAAATTTCACGTGAATTGGAAGTTTGATTCATGGAGGAAGCCTAGATAATTTTGGTTTAGAAGTCCGGTTTGATAAGTGATCAAATTTCATCATAGATTGAGAGTTTGATTAGGAAAGGGACTTTCAAATGGATAAGGACTCTACTTCATTCATAACTACATGATTTCGCTCTTATAAATTGTAATGACCTGGGTCCCACTTAACAGGTTGTACCGGTCGTTAGATCGACGACGTACTGTCCCCACTGTACCAACATGGGTCTTTTGAACATACTTTATTCTCACTCGCACGCTCCCCAAGAAAACTTTCCAGGGGGTCACCCATCATAGAATTGCTCCAAGCCAAGCACGCTTAACTGTGGAGTTTCTAACGATGGACTTCCGGAAAAGAAGGTGCACCTTGTGGTATGAGTAGTACCTATCAAATCTCTTAAGCTTTCTTGGTATGGGGTATTACAA